GCTGGTAGTTTCGAACCGCTGACCTTAAGTTTCACAGCTCAATTTGTAACCACTACGCTACCAGAGCTCCTTCACAGCATCATACTAGGACTCCAAAAAAAAAAAAAAAAGGATTATTGATTTTGTATATTCTGCTTCATTAATTAATATATCTCACCTTACGTTACATTCTTCCTGACCCATTTTACATTCCATTCTCAATACATAATTAATTTTAAAATAAGGTCAGGGTAAAAATACACCAAAATTTTATATGAATATACAAAATATAATCATCAAGAAAATATACAAGATACTTACGGTTGGTTTGATAATATTGGAAAGAAGTGCTTCAAATGCTTTAGTTTCGGCATCTTTTTCTTAAAAAAAAAAGGAAAAAGTTTTTGATTTATGAAACCAAACTAAGACCTAAATTCATATGTACTTAGCTTTTTGTGTAGTCCTTCAGTATTTTTGTAACTTAACACTAATTAAACACCATTGTTATTGTTAAGTGCCGTCGAGTCAATTCTGACCCATAGTGACCCTGTATAGGGTTTTTGAGAAGCAGCTGGTGAGCTTGAACCACCGACCTTGCAGTTCAAATGGCTTTGCAGTCTGGTGCATTAACCCACAGCACCACACCAGGACTCCCTAAAACACCATTACAAAATATATGTAAAAAGGAGCTCTGGTAGCGAAGTGGTAATGAGTCAGGTGTTAACTTCAGGGTCAGCAGTTCGACACTAACAGCTGTTCTGTGGGAGGAAGATAAGGCTTTTTGCTCCCATAAAGATTTATAGCCTCGAAAACCCGCACACCCCCACCACTACCAAAAATATGGGGCAGTTCACCAGGCGCTCCTCTGAAACCCTATACAGGGTCACTATGACTTGGAACTAAGTTGATGGCACTTAATAACAACATATATATATATATATATCTGAGGCAGTCAATAAGTTAAAATTATTTTTTATTTTATAGAAATAAGAATTACAAAAATAAATGATCATTTTAAAAAGTTCTCATTTGCCAACCTTATACCAATTAATGATAAATTAACTATTTGTTTCATGACATGTCTTAATTGTGGGTTCCCAAAATTGGAGAACTGGCTTGACCATAATTTATGACTTCTAATAATATACCTGAAAGTTAGCTTAATTCTTTTGAACCATCAGTACTGGCAAGAATAAGCAGCAATCCTCAAGAAATATGGAAAACCAATTTTATAAATGTTGCTAATAAACCATACATGACCCATCTGCAAGTTTGTCACACTATGGTGGCTTGTATGTTGCTATCATACTGGAAATTATGGCCATCGGTATTTTAAATACCAGTAGAGTTACCCATAAGGAGCTCTGGTAGCGTAGTGGTTACGAATCGGGCTGTGAACCTTAAGGTCAGCGGTTCGAAACTACCAGCCGCTCCGCGGGAGAAAGATGAGGCTTTCTACTCCCGTAAAGATTTACACCCTCGGAAACCCTGTACAGGGTCGCTATGGGTCGGACCCGACTCGATGGCACTTAACAACAACAACAACAAGAGTTACCCATGGTGGGCAGGTTTCAGCAGAGCTTCCAGACCAAGACAGATTAGGAAGAAGAAAAGGCAAAATTCTGAATGTTTAGTCGCTGAAACCTTATGAATAGCAGCAAATCATAAGACGAAAACATTATGAATAACAGCAGAATATTATCAGATGTAGTGCTGGAAGATGAGCCCCACAGATAGGAAGCACTCAATATATGACTGGGAAAGAATTTCCTCCTCAAAGTAGAGTTGACTGTATGATGGGAAATGATTAAAGCTTTTGGGACCATTATTTGCTGATGGGGCACAACTCATAATGAGGAGAAACAGCTGCAAACATCCATTAATAATAGGTACATGGAATGCACAATATCAATCTAGGAAAATTGCAAGTTGTCAAAAACGAAACGGAATGCCTAAAGATCGATAAAATATTTTAGGTAACAATTCCCCAAAATTTCCCCTCATATTTATGAAGTGTTTCACTATTAATTGGAGCCCTGGTGTGGTGCTGTAGGATAAGCTCTGGGCTGCAAATCATAAGGTCAGCAGTTCAAACCCATCAGACACTCCCTGGAAACCCTATACAAGGTCATGATGAGTAAGAACTGACTCAACGGCACTTAACAACAACAAGCTATTAATCTGTAACTTATAAAAATGATTGAAGGGTTAGAATGCACATTTACTAAGTTAAATAATGATGTAAGGGGATAAACTAAAGAAAAGTTAGGAATAGCCAGATGTTATTTAACTTGTTACCTTCTGTATCTGTATCAAGTTGTATGCCACCTTTCCCTTTCCCTGATTTGTTTTTTGCAGATCCGGTGTTCCCACCACCAGCACTCTGTCCTTTTATAAGTCCATTATGTTCATTTGTGGGAGAAGGGCATTTCTGGGGTGATGATGGTGGACTGCTCGTTTTATCTTTCTGTGTTCCTTGGCGATCCTTTAATTTTTTCTGCAAACGTTCGTATGTTTTACTAGATCTTTCATCTCTGAAGTTAGACCTTCCATGTGCTGAGTGAGCATCTACAAAGAAAGAAATAAACATTGTTAGAAAGGTCCTTTTCTGTAAATATGTTTATGACATAAGAAAGAATAAAAAACAAATCTATGATGTTGTAAAAAATGGATTATAAAATATTTCATAAGAATAATTTTGCAAAACAAAGCTATTTGTTTCTACCAAATGATAGACTAAGCTTTGTTCTTGATTATGATTATACATAAAAAGATTTTGCCCCATCTTTTCCTATCCATTAATTTTCATAGAAATAGTTTGGCAGTATGCTATGATTATTACCTTAGTTAGAGAATAAGATCTGAAATGATTTGTGTAGCTATTTTCTTTTACTCTTTTATAACTGTAATTTTGCACATCTCCTTCAACGTTCAAATAAAAAGAAAAGACACCACCTGCTAATAAACTCCCTATGACTCAAAGGGGAAATGTACCATCACTCAAAAATAAAATTTTGGAGTTAGAAAAATGAAGCAAATGAGACCATTTACTAACAACAGAATCTAAGCACCAAATATTACATCTTAGATATCAACTCAAGGCTGTGATTTACAAGAATGTCCTCATTTTAGTAAAAGTCACATAGCAATGTAACAGAATCAACTGCTCCCCCAAGTTTATTTTAATTTTAAATCTAACATCTATAATGTAAAATTATTTTTCAAAGCCACAAAATTCTCAGGAAAGAAGTTTTAATTTATCAGTGTTGAATGAAAACTAGTATAAACGAGTATTATAAACACTTGTAACATAACACTACAGTAAAAACATATTCAGCCTCATGACAAACATTACGAGAATTGCACAAAAGACAAAAATAGATAATTGTGACATAATAAAAATTAGAAATTCATGTGCTTCAAAAGATTTCCAACAGAGTAAAAAGAGAGCCCACAAAATGGGAAAAAAACTTTTGCAATAACGTATCAGACAAGGGAATAATCTCTAAAGTAGATAGGAAACTACAACACCTCTGCAGGAAAAAGACAAATAACCCAAATAAAACATGAGCACAGGTCATGAACAGACACTTCACCAAGGAAGACATTAGGGCATCCAACAAATATGAAGAAAAGTTCACAATCTTTAGTCATTGTTGTTGTTGTTACATGCCATTGAGTTGGTAACGATTTATAGCAACCTTATGCACAGCAGAATGAAACACTGCCCGATTCTGGGCCAAGCTCACTATTGTTGCCATGCTTGAGCCCTCTAATGCTGCCACTTTGCCAATCCATTTCGTTGGGGGTCTTTCTCTTTTTCTCTGACCCTCCACCTTACCAACATGATACCCTTTCTCCAGCGACTGGTCCCTCCTGACAATATGTCCAAAGTATGAGAGACGAAGTTTGGCCATCGTGGCCTCAAAGGAGCACACTGGCTGCATTTCTTCCAAAACGGATCCATTGGTTCTTTTGGCAGCCCATGGCACTTTCAATATTCTTCTCCAACACCATAACTCAAAAGCATCAATTCTTCTACAGTCTTCCTTATTCACAGCCCAGCTTTTGCATGCATTTGAGGTTACTGAAAATACCATGGCTTGGGTAAGGCGCACCATAGTCCTCAAGCTGACATCTTTTGCTCTTCAACACTTTTAAAAGGTCTTGTGCAGCAGATTTGCCTAATGTAATAATATGTCGTTTGATTTCTTGACTGCTGCTTCCTTGAGTGTTGACAGTTGATCCAAGAAGAATGAAGTCCTTGACAACTTCAATCTTTTCTCTGTTGATAAGAATGTTAAGTCTTCTTCACTTTCAGCAAGCAAGGTTGTATCATCTGCATATTGCAGGTTGTTAATGAGTCTTCCTCCAATCCTGATGCCATGTTTTTCTTCATACAACACAGTTTCTTGGATTATTCGCTCAGCATACAGGTTGAATAAGCATGGTGAAAGAACACAACCTTGTTGCATACCTTATTGAATTTTAAACCATTCAGTGTTCCCATGTTCTGTTCGAACAACTGCTTCATGGTCCAGGCACAGATTCCTCATGAGCACAATTAAAGTGTTCTGGAATACTCATACTTCGCAATGTTGTCCATAGCTTGTCATGATCCACACAACTGAAAACCTTTGCGTTGTTAACAAAGCAAAGGTAAACATCTTTCTGATATTCTCTGTTTTCAGCCAAGATCCATCGGACATCAGCAATGATAGAAAATGCAATATAAATACTGTTGATTCTTTTGATAATTACTAAAAAGTACAAACAAAACAAACCAGTTACCATTAAGATGATTCAGACTAATGGCAACAATATCCACTATATAAGTAAAGAATATACAACTTAATAAAATAGAATTATTGTAAGATGTCTTACCTACATCTCCATATACTTGTGAAGATGGGTACTGTGGCATATACTGTGTTGCCATGTCTCCAGCTCCAGTTACTGGTGAGTACATGTGACGCGGTGGAGGGGGCATCATGGTTGGGACAGGAATGAAGCCAGGCAGAGGAGGATGTGGAGAACGGTGCAACACTGTGTGACTACCAGGATGAAATTCGGGTGCCTGGGGAACCACAACAACTCTTCGAACACCATTGTCTTCAATAACCTACAAAATTAGATGCTTTTTTTGTTGAATATGAGCAATTCTTTTGAAATAGATTAAGAAATTTTATACCATTAAATCAATACATTTTAGTGACTCAACATGAAAAGAATTTATTAAATGTGAAGTGGCTTAAAAAAAATGATGGAGAAATTCTATTATCTTTTAACTCCAGTTTTCCATAAACTTCTGAAGACTCCCATACATTAGATATATATATGTTAGCACTGAACAACATGAAGTAGCTTTTGTTAAACAATGCAATACAAATTTTGAAATACTGATGCTGTTAGGTGCCGATGAATTTGTTCCAACCCATAGCGACCCTATGAACAACCAAACGAAATACCGCCCTGTCCTATGCCATCCCCACAAGTGCTTCTATGCTTGAGCCTATTGCTGCTGCCACTGTGTCAATATATCTCGTTGGGGGCTTCCCTCTTTTTCACTGGACCTCCACTTTACCAAACATGATATCCTTCTCCAGGGACTGGTCCCTCCCGATAATATATCCAAAGTATGAGAGACTGAGTGTCTCATAATTGGAACATGAAACACTGATAACACCAGCTAAATAATAATTTAAGCAAAAATGAGCAATGATGTTAGGTATTTATTCTGTGTGTTAAGTGTAAGAGGGGGTTTCAAAAGAAAGTTTGTGGAAAAATGTAATTAAAAAGATAATGAAAGCTTTCCATGGACATTTTGAAGCCTCATTGTATTTACTGAGGGCAACAAATTAATGAGCGACACGAGAGAACTTTTGGTTAGACTTAAAAGGGTCAGGCAAATAATCTCTTTTTCTATATTGTAGGGGAAGGGAAGGGAGGGCAAGCTTTTTTGTTGCTATTGTTAAGTGCTGCCTAATCAGTGCCAACTCATAGCAACCATGTATAGGGTTTCTGAGGCTATAAATCTTTTTGGAAATAGAAAGCATCATCTTTCTCCTGTGAAGCAGCTAGTGACTTGAACCACTAACCTTATAGTTCACAGTCCAATGCTTACTGTACAGAGCCACTGTGCTCTTTGAAAAGCTGTAGAAAGACAGCCGCCCCCCCCCCCACCAACAAAAAAGGGTGGATGGGGAGTCCATAGCAAAATCTTGGGTCCTGGTACCAGAATGAGAAAGAACAACCATATTTTAGAATTTAAGATATAAGATTCCTATGACTATTAACAGAACAATTTTAATAACTGAGGATTATTTCAAGAGAGACAAACATCAAATGTTTATTAACAATTGTGAAAAATTAACTATGGCTTTGAGGCTTAGAAACAGCACAGGTTTTATAGGGGTCACACTGTACGTACACATTTTCAAAAAAGTGATAGATTTCTTTTCTTTGAAACTCAATGGAGGTGCATGTGATTAGTACATACAAAAAAGCCTGAAAGGCTTTATTTCAAAATTAGGAATCTTTAGCTACTCCACTAAAAATTAAGGGCTCTAGTAGCTTCCTCGGAAACCCTATACAGGGTCGCTATGGGTCGAAACCAACTTGATGGCACTTAATAACAACAACAACAACAGTAGCTAAGTGGGCTGACGGCAAGATCAGCCAATCCACAGGAAAAAGATGAGGTTTTCTATTCCCATAAAGATTTACTGCTGTTAAGTGTTGTAGAGTCATTATAGCAACCCCATATAGGGTTCTTATGGTTCAAACCGACCTTTCGGTCAAGTGCTTATTCATTCAGTGCCATACCAGGACTCCCATAAGATTTACAACCTTGGAAGCCCTATACTGGCAGGGTTGTATGAATTGGAACTGACTCCATGGAACATCACCACCACCACCACTACTAAAAATTAAATGTAAATGATCATTATGGAGCTATAACAAATACCTACTAAATATCTTTCCCCAGGAAACAGAAAATATTTAAAATGTAAAGTGTTCTTGGAAGGTAAACTAATATTTTTAGAAAACAAAAATTCCACTATGTTTGTTGTTGTGTGCCATGTAGTGAATTCCAACTCATAGCACCTGTGTATGGGGTTACCCAGGAGCGACTTGTGGATCTGAACCAATGACCTATTATTAGTTAGCAGTCCAGTGCTTATCCTACAGAGCCATTCCAGCACTCCCTTACTCTGTTTAAGGATAGTAAAGAAAATCTCTATATAAACATCTATGTGCTTCTTAAGTATGTTGTTGCTGTTATGTGCCGTGGAGTCGGTTCTGACTCATAGCGACCCCGTAGTACAGGGTTTCCAAGGCTGTAAATCTTTACGGGAGCAGAAAGCCTCCTCTTTCTACGGCGGAACTGCTGACCTTGAGGTTCGCAGCCTAATTTGTAACCACTATGCTATAGGTATATACTATTTAGGTTCTCAAAACCCAAAATCACAAACACATTGCCATCAAGATGTTTCTGACTCATAGTGACCCTACACAGGGTTTCAGAGACTACATCTTTACGACAGCAGGAAGCCTTATCTTTCTCCCAGGGAGCATCTGGTGGGTTTGAAATGCTGACTGACTTTGTGGTTAGCAGTCCAATACTTACCCTACAGTGCCACCAAGTCTCCTTATGTAGGTATATTGTTTAGTGCTGTTGAGTCGGTCCTGACTCATATTGATCTTGGGTTTCTGAAGAGTAGCTGGTGAGTTTGAACTGCTGACCTTGCAGTTCAAACCAACCTGCGGTTCAGTGCTTATTCAAGAGTGCCACACCAGGACTCCTTATTTAGGTTTGTTGCTGTTGTTGTTAAGTGCCGTCAAGTTGGTTCCGGCTCTCAGACACCCTGTATAGAGTTTCTGAGGAGCAGCTGGTGAGCCTGAACTGCCAATTTTGCGGTTCAAACCAACTTACAGTGCAGCACATTATCCCACAGCACCACACCAAGATAAGCCTAAATGACAAGGTTTATTGTTGTTGTTAAGTGCTGTCTAGTCAATTCCGACCTATAGCATCCCTGTATAGGGTTTCCAAGGAGCAGCTGGTTAGCTTGAACCACCGACCTTGCAGTTCAAAAAACTTTGTAGTCTGACGCGTTAGCCCACAGTGCCACACCAGGAATCCAAACTATAAGGTTTAGATAGCCTAAATTACAAGTTGTTGTTAGGTACTGTTGAGTCAGTTCCAACTCAGAGCAACCCTATGTACAAAATATTGCCTGGTTCTATGCCATTCTCACAAGTATCGTTACTTTTAATCCACTGTTACTCTCACTGTGCCAATCCATCTTGTTCGGGATCTTCTTTTTTTCTGCTTTTCCACTTTTCCAAGCATGATGTCTTTCTCCAGGGACTGGTTCCTCCTGACATGTCCAAAGTATGAGAAACAATGAAGTTCATCTCCAGGGCCTGGTCCTTCTTGATAACATGTCCAAAGTATGAGAGACAGATTCTCACCATCCTGACTTCTGAGGGCATTCTGGCTATACTTCCTCCAAGATAGATTTGTTTATTCTTCTGGCAGTCCGCAGTATTTTCAATATTCTCCGCCACCACCATAAATCATGCATATTGATTCTTCTGGAGTCTTTCTTATTCACTGTGCAACTTTCACATGTATATGAGGCAAATTAAAATACCATGGCTTGGGTTAGGCACACTTCAGTTCTGAAAGTGACAGCTTTAAAGAGGTCTTTGGCAAAGATTTGCGTAATGCAACAAATTCTATGATTTCTTGATTGCTACTTCTATGAGACTTGATTGTGGACCCAAACAAAATGAAATCTTACACACCTTCAATCTTTTCTCTGTTTATCTACTGATTGGTCCATTTATTAATACTATTTATTTATTGTGAGAATTTCTGTTTTCCTTATATTGTGGTACACTTCATACTAAAGACTGTGGTCTTTGGTCTTCATCAATAAGTACCTTAAGTCCTCTTCTCTTCCAGCAAGCAATGTTGTGTCATCTGCATATCACAGGCTGTTAATGAATGAGTTTTTCCTCCAATCCTCATGCCACTTCTTCATATAATCCAGTTTCTCAGATTGACTTAAGTATAAATCATAAACCCATGTGCATACCTTTTCTGACTTTAAAGCATTCAGTAAATACATCCAGTAGGTAGAGATGCCAGGAATGCTGTTAATCATCCTACAATGAATAGGGCACCCCCCCACCCCCCTTTAAGACAAAAGATTATCTAGGCCAAAATGTCTACAGTGTCAGGTTGAAAAAAATACGGCTACATATGTATATTTGGTAGGATTACTACGCCTTCTGAGTTGAGAATAAAGTGTAGGGAGGCAAGGGCACTAGTTGGGAAACCATTTAAGAAGCTACTACAGCAATCAATGAATGAGATGATGGTGGCTTGAATGAGTGTGGTACCAGTGGAGGTGGTGAGAAGAGGTCTATGAGGGTAAGTTAACAAGTGCTGCTACTTGGGTTCCAGCTCAGACATACATGGGTTTATTCCAAACAAAATGTGCTTAAACATGTCTCTATGAACAGCAGATGCCTGAAGAAAAACTCTCTCAGCAATAACACTTGTGTTAATCTCACTGTTGTTGTTGTTAAGTGCTAGTGAGTCAGTTCCAACTCCTAGAGATCCTGTATAAGGTTTCTGGGGAGTAGCTGGTGGGTTTGAACCACTGTGGTTCAAACCTGTGGTTTAGCAGTTCAGTGCTTATGCTACAGTGCCACATCAGGACTTTAAAAAGGTGCCTTGAAACACAACAAAACGAAAAGAAACTTTTTATGCCATGGAAAAAAACAATTCTCAGGTCAAGGCTAATTTCAAATTTTTAACAAAACTCAAAAGGACATATTCCCATATCACTGAGGCTTTGCAACAAGTTTATGGGAATGCTGTTGTTGTTTTTAAGTACAATGGAGTCGGTTCTGACTCATAGTGACCCTGCACAGGGTTTCCAAGGCTGTAAATCTTTATGGGAGCAGAAAGCCTCATCTTTCTCCCGCAGGACGGCTGGTAGTTTCAAACTGCCGACCTTGAGGTTAGCAGCCCGATTTGTACCACTACGCTACCAGAGCTCCTGGTGGATCAAGAGTTTTAAGGAAGGTTAGGAAGACCTAAAA